AGTACATTCCATCACTATCTATATCTAAACCCGCACTTTTACTTGTTTTAGCTCTTTTAGCCTTTCAATTGTGAAACAAATTGAGTTAGAAAATGAAACAACATGTGGTCTCATCATTTCAACATGAATATATATATACCTGCAAAAAAGATTCAAAACAAAAAATCCAAAAACATTTACGACCGCGCAGTAAATATACTATTCTATAACCTATTCTGGTTACTCTTTTTTTTATTGCTTCGAAACATCCTAACCTAAATTGGTATATCCGCAGTTGATAAATAAAAATGACTAATTCTGAATTTGAAGTTACTTGTCCGTTCATAGTAAAAATGTGGGTACTTCTTGAAGGTTCACCGAGTCCCTTAAAGTTGAGAACTGATGTAACTAAGGTCTCAGACCTAAACGACTTCAAAGAAATTCTTAGTCGCGAGTTTGAAGAGTTAAAAAGTGTTAGACCGTATAATATTGTATTTTTGGACAATAAAGGCATACCTATTCTACCAGGAGTCGAACTCCGAGCCCTAGATGAAAAAACAACTGACGAAAACCCGCTCGTTGTTCGTTACCCGATCTCATCTATAAACAGTAAGTGAGATTTATTTGCTTTTTCCCACTTCAAGCAAGTACTTATTAATTTCCTTCAAAATGCAGTTAAGGTGACATTCATGTATGGACAAAAGCAGGGCAAACGCGAAATACCACATACTAGTGATTCTTTTGATCAGTTGAAAGCCTTTGCTAGAGAAATATTTAAGGATTTAGAGGAAGGAACTATTTATTTTGTAAATGATGGAACGGAGATCTGGAACGCGTACAACTTTAACACCGCAATAAAGTCTCAAACAGCACAAGACAACAACGTTGTGCTTAAATTAAAAGTTTTGATCAAGGGCAAAAAGAAATATAGTGACTGGAAGCTTAAAGACGTGTTTACGGACATTCTAAAAAAACCGACATACAGTTCACTTTCCTCTATGCCGGTACTTGACATGACAGAGTTTCCCCCATTAGATCCACAATTTGATCAGAAACAATTGACGGAATTCGTTGACGAAATTAAAACTAAGCTTATTTCACTTCGGGATGAATTCGGAAATGAAACGAAGAATCGTATATACATTGACGCATTCATGACACACGCAGTTAAATATATACGAACCCATATAAATAATTTAGTAATGTTGGACGTGGAGCAACGACTAGATGGGAGTCACGGGCATGGTCCTGTAGATTACTGGGTAAAGTTAGTTGAAGTTTTGTTGTTTTTATGCGAAGCAAAAGCTGAAGACATGAATCAAGGATCTGCTCAAGCTATTGTGCAGGCACAGAGCGGAATTGAACAATTAAGTAAACTAGGATATGAGGAATTATTGATCTATGGAATAGCCTCAACTGGAAAGCTATGGCGATTTATCCGTTGGAGTGGATCATCAGAAAATCCGGAAGTTCATATTAGCAAAGAATATACATGCGCTTTCGAGGGTGAATTGGTAAACGAAAAAGAAATATTAACATATATTGCTCAGATATTAACAGCGCAAGTTTATCTTTATGATAAAAATAGTGAACATCCTTCAAAGCGAGTTAAAGTAAATGAAAAATGAATTTTTGTTCATATATTTAGCATATATTCTTTGTAATATTGATTTTAAAACAAATA